TATCAGAAAAATAGCCCAACCGAAAAATCACTGAAACTGCTTAATCTACACTAATGTAAAAGATCATTCTATCTCTTACCAAAATTGGAAACAATCAGAATATGTTTGACCACACAAGATACTAGGTTGTTTTTGGAAGTAGTAATGCGTAAAATGAAAGAGTAAATAGATTTTCTGATGAATTCAAAATTCATTAGAAACCAATCATTTTTTCCATGGTTATTATGTCTTTAATACATAGCCTCCCTTTCTTATGAAATATTTCTCTTAAATTTTATAGTAATTAGCTTAATGTATAACCGCAACACTAGTTGCTTAAACTGTCGTTTTTATATCATTGAATAGCTTTTCCTAAATTATACGGTAAACAATTTATTCATAAAAACCAAAAAATAAGCATTAGTCCTAATTATATGAACGACCATTACCACAATAATGAACACAAATTCACCATTGGATTTAAATTAATAACGTAGGCCAACAAAGTAACATGCCCAAGATCTATACTGGATCATTTTAGCGGCCTAAAATAATTTTTAAAAAAGAAAAACTGTATACCGTTTTTTAAACTAGACCACTTTCGGAAAAAACTTGATCGTGCTGATGGTGAATGCTTGATCATGAATGAGCGGAACAAACACCAACCATCATTGTTTTTGCAGCTTTTTTTCGCAAAAAAAATAATATGAAGGGAGCAGATTAATCGAGGCGACACATTAATCGTTCTTCTACTATCGGAAAGTTTAGTAAATTCCAGTGAAGTATAATTTTTGAATAATTAAAATACAGAGAATGACTGTTCACGATTTAATCGTCGGTTGTATGCAGTTCTACAGTAAAAGAATAGCATCAAGTTTGAAAATGTTGATATATGATGTCGTACTTATTCATAAATCTTTAGTGTACCGACAGTATCATATTTATTGAATATACCTTTGCTTTTCAGTCTTAATAATCGACATTAAAAAGTCGGCAGTAAGAATACAGACGTGAATGACTAATGTTACTTCTATCGTAGCACAATAATCGTTTAAATACAAAATAAACCACAAGAGATTTCATATCTTGCTAAAGTATCAAATGTCCAACATTCAAATGATTCGTGCAATCAAATTATTTTACGCAAGTCAGCCTCTTGGTTAATGATCTCGTGGATCATAACATATTTATAAATTTTATCGTTATAGTTATTTATTGAACAAAAGATTTTATTGGTATTGTTATCATAGGTATATTTTATTGGTATACTTTTATTATAGTTATATTTATATTTGGTACTTCTGCATAAACGTTTCTCTACCTGTTTTGTTGTAAGAAAAGTGATTGAATTGACATGCAATCGCATCCCAGTTGTAGGAGTTTCCAATTTGTTCTGAATTGGTATACATTGTTTCTTCTGTCACCGCAACCATTTCTGTTGCAAATTCTGTGGACTGAAAATTAATATAATTGTTATTTTTATTTCAATTTACAATATGATGGTCATTTAAAAGGCCTATATAAATACAAAGTATACAAAATTATCTTTAATTTAAGCAAACACGATCGCATGCTCATTAATATTGCCATCTTTTACATTTTTCCCAAGTGATTTTATCGACTTTCCCTAGATGGTTTCTAGATTGTTACAATAATCTTATTTTAATTATCATAATTATACACGAGATGTAACATTTCGTTTGTATTGAAATAATAAAAGATATATAATTGCATAATCTCTATAGTTTTATTCTTTTCGCCATCTTCATCGAACATTCTTCATCTTTAAAATTGATATTTGTATCACATCAGAATCATCATTGTCGTCATAATCATCATCATCATACTTCTCCTATCTAATTTTATTATTTTTGTATTTCTTTGACATCCCATAGCGAGTACCAACACATTGTAGGATGCTGCTGTAATTATCAGTGTCATCATCAGTGTGATTGTAGGATGGAAACTGATATAAATCTCTAATTTTGAGGCTTAGGGAGTGGAGCTTGCAGTTATTGGGTTTAAGTATTCTGTTTTTGGTCAAATAAATGAATAAAAATCCTAGGTCCATCCATAATCACCGCAATGCATATATCATCATCATAGTCAAAACATACCGTATGCCCCTAATATATTCATCATATTCCCCATCATCATCAACAAAAAACATGAACATGGCCCTAGTCATCATCATAATAATTATCACCATCATCATCATCAACAACAAATCCCATAATCAATATCATCGTAAACATCTTATTCATGTATTTTTTTCCAATAATATCGTCTTTTCTGCAAGCTTTTTATTATCGTAGTCGTTGACAACGTCGTCGTGGTCATCGATGTCATCATCATTGTA